GAGATACAGAGGAGATGAGGGGGGGGGGACGTGTTTGTGGCTCTGTAGAAGCTTTCTTTCTTGTAATTGTTGGCTCTGTAGCTTTCTAAGCTTTGTCATTTTTCATATCTCATTTACAGTGCGGTTTGTTAGTGTATGGACAGTCTTGTGTTGGGTTTGACGAGGTTAAACTGCTGACTTTCAGCTTATTTGAGGGCGTTTACATCCACATTCTACAAACTGGGGACCAGTGACTGAGGGTGAAAGGGTCACGATTCCTTCCTTCCCTTAAAGCTGAAAGTCAGCACTTTGCACACCCCCATAGTCACTGTTTCACTGGAACAACTGTACTATAAATTGTATAGTTTCCTCTTTTTGTCTGTAAGATAGTTTGTGTGTTTTAGTCCTAAAATGATTAGTTAATTAATCTATTAATCAAACAAACTAACAAAAATTAATCACCAATAAATGGTAATAATTGGTAACACTCTAAAATAAGATAATTGAAATAATATTATAATAAAAATATTATAAATAAATCCATAATTGTCCATTGGCCTTTGGACTTTAACAGGATATTTCATTTGTTTTGCAGGTATTTGGTCAGAAATGTTAGCGATAACTTTGGTGGGTCACCAGGATACGATCAAAAAACCTGCAGACATCAGTAAAAGCAAACTGTACAGGAACGTTGGTTTCAGCTGTGTAGATCTAACACCTCGGACTGCCACAGCCTCCTCACAGCCTCAGGCCTTCTGGGTATTCTTACCACAATGACGGTGTTCTGTTTGATGCAGTACTGCGATAAGCACAGCCTTTCTAACACATTTTATTCATATATTGAACTGTGAAGCTAAAGTCTTATGACTTGTACATTGTTACTGCTACTATTTTTATTATGTCCTAGAACAGGGATTCCCAACCAGGGCTACTTGTTGCTGCTTCTGCTGTTGCCAGGGGGTGTGTGGAGTGAATGTAGACACATTTGAGAAAACTGAATTAATGATTTGATTAACAAAATACTTCCACATATTGAGTCAGCTATAACAATTAATTTAAGTGTTATTGCAATTAAAGGAGAGTTAGCTTGAAGTAAAAGATGGATAAACAATTGAAATAATCAGCTAAAAGTATATGTTAAACTTAAAATAGATCTCTCAAAGTAATGGATAAATGGTTGGAACGTCCAGTTTTTGCCACTCCGTGTGGTGTACGAGTGCAGACTTGGCCAAACCGGACTAAACATTGACAGTTTATTTCTATGAACTACTATATCCACTTTTATATGATTTAATAGTTAAATGACATCCAGTTTGAAATGACTTGAAATGAACACATTTAGAACATAAATAAACAGGGAGACTTAATGCTTCAAAAATATGTTTGAATGAGCTGTGCTGATGTATCTGATGGTGAAATCCTGCAGTCTTTTGGTTGTGTTTTCTAGTTTGAGAGCCTCTAAGTTGCAGGCTGTTGTTTCCTCGATGAAACGCTAACACGATTTACCATTAAATGGGTTCTGGCAGAGGTCTCCAGTGGGACAAATAGGGTCGGGCTTTCTTTTAGTGTCATGAGCTTCCTTTTTTAGACCGTCTTCAAAGTTCAACAAATTAACTGTGAAACATGTTTTTGAACAGCTGCAATTTAATTCTGCCTTTGATCCAGTCCTAAATGGATTACCAGGTGCCTGACGGTGCAAACGATTGCTTGTGCAAGTTAAAGCAATGGACGCTTCAGTAAGACTGCCCCCCTTAGTTTAGAAGAATGGCTTTCTATTCTAGCACTGCACAGATGCAGTTTACAACTATAAGGATGGCACACTCGATATGTGTGGTCATTTATCATCCCTCCTACACAACATGTTTAGGGAATTTAAACTTATGTGTAACTTTGCAGACTTTTTCTGGAAAAAAATATGCAAGACTACATGTATCCAAACTACAAACTTGCAGAAGCATTATCATTTATAAAAGCCATTGAAAGTTGAATGGATGAAGTTTTGAAGTTATTGCATGACATTCTAATAGTAGCATAGATATTAATTAGTTAGGGGGAATTGGTCATAGCATAGTTTAGTACAAAGAAACACAAACAGAGCACAGCAGTTAAATGTGTTCAGTCATTACAAACATTATATAAGTGTTCATCCAGAAATAACATTAGAGATACACAATGAAAAACCGGCAGTCAGCTATTTAGCTATGTACGAAAAAGGGGTCCCCATTATTGATCCTGTTTACAGACGTCTGACTGCTCAATTGTTTCTCCACCCCCCAACCTCCGAACCTATTGAACACAGAAGAAATTTGGGATCTCTGCACTGATTCAGAGGTCTGGAATCAGACGAGTGAAATCTTTGTGGAAAAACTGGCCTTGTTGAATTTTTATGTTGTTATCAAGCAGATGTTTTCTGGGCAGTGGTCTGATAATCTTACAAGCCATAAGGTTAGAGATTTTATGGGTAAGGAGGAATTTGAGCTTCTGTTCTGACATGCCAACAACTATGTCCTGAAACCTATGACCCAAGAGATTAAGATGTGTGGAACTCCCCACTAGTCTGAGAATACAGAGCACTGAAGTAGCCGCCTTGAACAGCAAACTGAATGGCCATTGAGGTAGTACTAATCATACTGCATGTGGATGCGCCTGAGAATCAAACCTTGTCTATTGTGGTCATTTCCTCTTCAGTGTTGTTATTTGGTGCCACTTGAGTTTTAATAGGCTTATTTTCAGCTAGATGCTAGTTGCATCAAATGCAGCCTTTCGTGTTCGGACATACAAAGATCATAGCTGCAGTCTTATTCAGCCTTCGAGATGAAGAAAGACTGTTTAGCTTCTAAAAAAGGAAACCCTACAAACAGTTTTATCCTATACTGAAGGGCCTGGGGACAACAAGATGGGCATTGTCTTTTAACAGAAGGACCTTGGATCGAGCACAGTGCCGCCAAAACATATTTCCCCATGTCGTCACTTGTATAACTGACCCTGGCAAAGGAGGGCAGAAATGAAAGAGCATTTCCCTGTAGGAGTTTCTGACTTGTTTTTCTTCCTCTTGCTCTTTTTGTTCTTAGAAAGTTCTATGCCCTTCATGCTAATTGGACAACCATGATTAAATTTCAGTCTGAGAAATTCCCCTTAACTAGTACCAATGAACAAACAAATCTCTCTAAGATGGAACACACAGTTTTTATCATACCAGTTAACAAAATTATATCAGACATTAATTTTTCACAGGCGCCTGTCAACAGATTAGATTGGATCTGTTTTTCACTGTTTATTGGGACACTCTAGTTCTCAGGAAAACTGTGTCAGCTTTATCTGGCACATGGTGTAAAAACTTTGCCCAGATTAGATACAGTTTAATGGTTGGTAGCTAATGTTTCTCATCCATTATTTAGACCTACTTTTTTTAGGTTTTATCTATGAACTCTGGGGATGATGAGTTCTTACCAGTTGTGACTCACAGCAGAGGCAACAATAGAGCAAGTTTAATTTCCTTGACTATCAAGCAGCTAGTAAGATGCAGGTCAAGGGTTGAGAGCTACATCGCCCTGTCAACACATGTGGCAAGTGAGTCGAAATAAAACAAGAACCCTTTTTAAAAGCTGGACAGAATTTGAGAAACATCTGGTTTAATCTAGCACTGAGCTATCAATGATACACTAATGCGATTTTTACTAAATGAGGTTTTGGCAGAGGTCTGAAGTTGCTGAATCCAGGTTAGCTTTTATTAGGTGTGTTTGGTGTAGAGCTTAGGGGAATGAGTGAATAGCCACTAAATCCCTGCATGAAGTGTGTGTGTGTGGTGATATAAAGTATGGTAGTCCTTAAACATTCAACAAGTGATGATGGTATCCTTATTTTGTGTAGAATGCTAGTTTGTGTTGACTTGAATTACTGAAGCTTCTCTCCTCTTTCTTTGTGTCAGGATGCGAGGCAGAAGTTCCGCTCGGTCCTGGTTGAGGCCACCGTGAAACTGGACGAACTGGTGAAGAAGATCGGCAAGGCTGTGGAGGAGTCCAAGCCTTACTGGGAGGCCCGCAGGTTGGCCAGACAGGTCAGTTAATAATGCTTGGAGGGAGGGATGGGGGGAGGGATGGAGGGATGGGTGGTAGAATCAAAGGGTCAAAATAGGGTTTTTGCTAAATTATATTTTTTAAATTCATCTTTAAAGCAGATCAATTATTTTTGTAATTATTACTGCTTATTTTGACACAGCTGCTTGTTAATTGATAGATCATCATGATGATTCAGGTGTTGGTGTTCTCATAGGGTCTGTTTTGGGTTGTTGGGTACAGGTAGGTTTTCCATGGGTCCGATTCGGATTGGGTCCAACATTTTGAACCCATGAAGACCTCTGGGTCTATATAAGCAAATTGAAAGTCAGGTCGCTGAATGCTGGCAGTTCAAATAACTCAGCATTTTGATCATTTTTCTTTATAAAAGCTGTATAACTAGTGTGTTTTATACAGCTGAGACCAAGTCCTCTCATACACAGGCCTACTAATTACCTATTCAGTGTTTGCTGTAGCTGTGCATGGCCTGGTTTTTTTGTTTCATTCATCATTTATCTATTATTTTGGGATTTAACCAGGTCAAAAGTCATGTATAGGCTCTAGTAAGACAAGTTCTTCTTTTTTAGGACTTGAGTCATTCACTCAGAAAGTGGTTGATAGTTTGGTAGAAGAAGATGGGATAGATGGATAGATTTTTTAAAGCAGCAAGCTAGGGAATTGTTGAGGTAAATTGTCATTGAGCTATACTTCTGTATGAATCGAAGATGGTGATGTTAGGTTGATAATCAACGGATGAATAAGAACTGAGTTCCTTTGTGGAATTACCAAATCAACCCGACCTGATTATGTGTTCAAGTTTTCCTGTTTCCCTGCAAGTGTTTTGCATGGTTCAAAAATTTTCATACATGAACTTGAACAGCTTTCAGTATAGTTGATCAGTAAAATGCAGAAATTAGACACAGCTTCAAACTGGTTAGGGAGGGGAACTATACACTTATTTCAGACCATGATCTCAGTTCCCTTTTCAGCCTAGCCTCAGCGCTCTGTTTGTGTGTTTGTGTGTGCGGTGTAAATAAAGGGGGAAGCAGCCACCTGCACATTTCGATAAGAGACCACACAGCTGTAAGAGTCAGTCAGGAAGTGCAGGGATCGACTGAGACTCTAAAAGGCTTCATTATGTAGTTTTCTTGCCTCTCAACCTCCTGATATGTCCTGTGTAGGGAGGCTGTCGCCGGTATTCAGGTTTTCATGAGGGGATTAAAAAATCGCTATAAATATGAGGGGTAAATTTCCACGGTGTGCTGAAATACACGCAATGATGAATGAGTTCCTGTGTGACACTGCAGTTGGACTTCCCCTTTTCAGTTCTATGTCCTTTATTAACCCATTTAAACTAAGTTCTCTGAGGCCACTGCTACTTTTATTATGATTAAGGCGTGCTGAAGTAGAGATTAATCACATTTGTGGCCAAAAATACAACATCCTTGAAGAAATCATTGACATTCAGACTTTTAAAGATTAAAATACCGTGTTTTAGCTTGTTCTTTGGCCTTTACCTGTGTGTCTTTGTATTTGTCACAAACCTTAAAATATAAGTTTTGCAGATCTTATCCAAAACCATTTGTAGCTTTGTGTTTAGCACCTGGGGTTAACATAGGGATTTGAACCACCAACCTTGTTAGAATTTATTATTTTGGCTGCGGCTCCATAGCTATCAGACAATCCATTAATTCTTCCCTCCTTTATTTATGTCAAACCTTTCAATCACTCAGTAAATGAGAGAAACGGCTAACTTAAGTGTTTGTAAAAGTATAATAAGAAAGAATTGTCTCCTGCTGTTGTGGTGTGCCAAGCACCTCGATTGAGAGGGTCCTCGGGGGAACTGAGATGAGGATGTACAGCATGTGATTGTTCTAGTTCCTTTTACCTGTCAGCTCACCTGTCAGCCTGATTAATATCTGTCTCATCTTGACATTTACTTTCACTTCTTCAGCATGTATTTGGAACAACTGTACAAAATATGCTGCAAGTCCTAGATTGAACACTTTGTGAAGAGTGGGTTACAGTGCTCAGATGGCAGAAATACTGTATTTATTATGGATGTTTTTACCTGCCTCTAGAAATGTCTGGTATGGAAAGTGCAGAAATATGTTGAGGTGTTAGAGCCATAAATAAAAAAAAAATGGAAGAAGACAAAGGGGGCGAGATGATGGGCTGCAATTCTGGAGGAAGAAGAGGACAAATGTGAGTGGGAGGAGGATTGTAAATGGATAGGATCAAGGTTGAGGCAGGGTTCAGGCTTTCCTGCAGGGAGGGAAAACATTTTTACCCATCGCTCTCACTCTGTAAGGGAAACCATTTGGCTGGCAGTTATACTGCACCATTCGTTTCCGCATGAACAACTAATTCAGCTTGACATCAGTCTGACAAAAATAATCAGTTAAAGTTTAGGAGAAGATTTTAGTTTGTCTCCTCACTCAGATGACCCACTTTTGCTATCTTTGCTAAGTTTGATTAATAGACTGTCCTGTAACTTGAATGAACAACACATGGAAAGTAGTCCTAGTCCTTGGCCGGATTCAGTCATACTCTCCCTGATTGGCGTTGTTCTTGATCAGTTGGGGTATGATTTGTTCGTCTTTTGTCTAAGAGTAGGAAAACAGACTTGTCCTCACATTAGAGAAATGTGCAAGGTACGGAATAATCTTGAGATGAGAACATATCTGGTTTTCGTTAATTGCTGGCAGTGTGAAAATGCTAAGGTTTGACAATAAAGGGGTAGGGTGTTCAGCTCTGCTGCCTTGCTACATGATAGTTATATAAAATGGTAAATGGCCAGTAAATTTGGATTCTGGGTCAGGTTTAAATCGAAGCCATGATGGTTGGAGGGTTATCAGATTGTAGTTCTGACCCTCTCTTATTTATACATGTATTTATATTATTTCCATTGTTTCACCAAGTAAAGAGTGAAGGTCTGGGAGGAAAGACGGACACGGTTTGGCACCCACTTAATTGGGTGTATACTAACTATATCACAGTGTATACCTCTGGCTTAAGTGCTACCACAATGCAATGCAATATTGCAGAGCATGTTTCTTCTGTCTACCTTTTGATTCATGACAAAAGATAATCAACAGATGCCAGCGTGATATATTTTTCGGAGTAGTGTTGTGAACCATTTGGTGTCAGATAAGCCATCAAACTGTCTGTATTAGGTTCACTGATACCAGTCTTCACCAACACAGTTCGTTGTATTGTTCCAACACAGTGATGGTTTCGGTTTGAACTGTTGCCCTGTTGTCATGAAACAAGCATGTTGAGCAGCCAGATGAAGGATGGATTTGTTGCATAAGTGCTTGAAAACTCAGAGCACTGGAAGCTCAACAATGCACATCTCGTCCTGACTGTTTTCTGTCCAATTTTCTCTGGACTGCAGATCAAGACTCCATTAAGCGTAGCCATTATCTGTTCTGAGGACCGCTGGCTCAACTGATAATTCATTGACCCTGATTACTTGGCAGAAAGTATCAGATACTCTTTATGGATAACCACAGCAGCAATAATCAACCACTACGTTGTTTTTCACGTATTGAAACAGTCTGTTAATGTTTTTATTGCTAATGTTAAGGCATCTTGTTCAAGGGCACTTTGCTGATATACCTGCCCCGTCCAGGTTTTCTCAGCAGGTCTGATGTATGAAACCAGTGACTTTGAAAGCCAGCTTTTCTAACCTTGCCATAGCTGAATCCACTGGCCTACATAAACATTTTCCATCTGGTGTATTTATCTGTGCTTGCTCTCCAAATGCCCCCAAGGGCAGATTTAGCATTTGTTGTGTTTTATGTGAACAGAGAAGGATAAACATCAGTTTTGCTAAGCCAGCCTTGTTCTGCTCTCAAATCTTTTCATCACCCGTGTCTCTATGTTCTTCCCTCATACTCAGTTTTTCTCTTTGTCTTTCCCATTCTCGGAAGGTTACAGACTGCAGTGGAGTTTTTATCAGATCTCTGCAGTAATTCACTGCTTCACTAGCACCCAAGCATTTAAATGCAAGACTTTGTAAGTCTGGGAAGGAACGTTCTGGTTAAGATTCATAGGGCTCATTGTTACATATGGGACTACAGCTATAATGAATTGATCAGACTATTTTTGATTTATCATTTAGTCTATACAATGTTAAAGAGAATCCCATTACCAGGAGGCCAAGGTCAGATCTTCAAATGTCTTGATTTGTCCAAACAGATGTTCAAATCCCAAAGACATACAATTTACAGTAATATAATACTGGAGAAAGCTCCAAATCTTCCCTTTTCAGGAGGAAGACAGAACATTTGTTTGACTAAACAATCAACTAATCATTTGAACACTACTTCCTGAGTAGTGCTGTTGTTGTTTTTGGTGTCCTAATCCAGATGCAAAAGGAGAGCAAGAAGGTTGGTAGTTTAAGAGACTGGAAGACTGGAATCCACCCCCCTGTTTTGGCCAGTAACTATCCTATTGCCTAGTCCTCTAGTGAGGAAACTGTGAAGCTGATCCTGCACTTTTGTCTTGCTGTGAAAGGGGGAAAGTAAACATTTAATTTCAATGAAGTTTAGGATCGCATTAAGTGTGCTGAACAAGCTGTAATAGATGTTTAAAATTTGAGCATCTCCATCTTGCTCAGCATGAACAAGTTGGCTCCAGATTCCTGGCAGGGATTTAGTATCTGTCCATCTTGTCTTGTTTTTCTTGGTCATATCTAATCTGTCTCTAAATGAGCCGCTGACCCACCCCACCCCCCACCCCCGAAGGCATCGAGATCTTTGAGAAGATGGTGCAATCCTTTAACTCCCCGCGGCACTATAGTATATACTACATTTAGATTTAGTTTCTCTGAACAGGTGGTGAAAGAGGCTTTTGGAACCGAAATAGAAAGAGCTGAAGTCAAGGAAAAACAGTTGCTTGTTGGAGGCTGTGAATGTTTTTCTCGCTGAGGGTTTCTAATGTTTCTATTACAGCCGTTATCAGAGAATCTTGTAAATGGCCTCTGACACAATTAGGC